AGTAGATATATATATATATATATATATATATATATATATACTTTTGAAGTGATAATCAAGATAGCCCAGTACAGACAGTTTGATAAGAAGCAAGTGTGAGAGTACTTACACGGGGAGATAGATTCAATGTTCAATGCTCAGCCATTCCCAGTCCTACTTAAGCCTAAGTTGATTGTATCTCGTTTGCATATCAATTCCAACTCAGCAGTTTCTCTTTGGAGTTTGTTTTTGAAGCTTTTCTGTTGCAAAATTGCCACCCGCAGGTCTGTCACAGAATGACCAGACAGGTTAAAGTGTTCTCCTACTGGTTCTTGAATGTTATGATTCCTGATGTCAGATTTGTGTCCATTAATTCTTATGCATAGAGACTGTCCGGTTTGGCCAATGTACATGGCAGAGGGACATTGCTGGCACATGATGGCATATATCACATTGGTAGATGTGCAGGTGAATGAGCCCCTGATGGCATGGCTGATGTGATTAAGGTCCTATGATGATGTCACTTGAATAGATATGTGGACAGAGTTGGCATCGGGCTTTGTTGCAAGGATAGGTTCCTGGGTCAGTGTTTTTGTTCAGTGATGTGTGGTTACTGGTGAGTATTTGCTTCAGGTTGGGGGGTTGTCTGTAAGCGAGGACAGGTCTGTCTCACAAGATCTGTGAGGGATCATCTTTCAGGATAGATTGTAGATCTTTGATGATGCGCTGGAGAGGTTTTAATTGGGGGCTGAAGGTGACAGCTAGTGGTGTTCTGTTATTTTCTTTGTTGGGCCTGTCTTGTAGGAGGTGACTTCTGGGTACTCATCTGGCTCTGTCAATCTGTTTTTTCACGTCAGCAGGTGGGTATTGTAGTTTTAAGAATACTTATGCTCAAATAAATTTGTTAGTCTCTAAGGTGCCACAAGTACTCCTGTTTTTTGTGTGGATACAGACTAACACAGCTGCTACTCTGAAACCAATAAATAAAAGGCAGATTCCCTGTCCCAAAGGACTTACCTAACATTGTAAGTTAGAAAATGAATAACAGAAGGAGATGACAACTCAGGGAGGTGTAGGGGAAAGAAATGACAAGAAAGAGGACAATATAAACATGCAGTCCTTGGTGAAATTAATGCACATATCTAGATGACCAAATCTTTTTATGTCAGGGATCCGACAGCTGTTTTCTTTTGTATTGATGTCAGTGCTGTAAGAAAAAAAAATCCTATAAAAAGCAAAGGTTTCATGCTTTTGCCAGCAGCCATTATCCAAAGCACAGGTTCTTCAAATGGGTCTGGTATCCAACGTCTCAATGTTTGTTTCAACCTCTATAGGCATCTGTCCAGTCTGCCATTCTAGGGGTGAGCTATTCAGTTTTCCTCTCCATTGAGATGAGAATCCCCGGCACAGCATCCATTCTTTGATGCAATAGCAATAAATATATATCAGTCAATTGCCTGCTTTCTCCTCTCCCCCTACTCAGCAGCTTGTCATTCAGTGTTGTGGAAAGGGGAGTTTTCCTCGACTGTATAAGAAATCATAGAAATGTAGGGTTGGAAGGGACCTTGACAGGCCATTTAGCCCATCTGCCCCTGTGCTGAGACAGGACCAAGCATACCGTCGACCATCCCTGACAAGTGTTTATTTCACCTGTTCTTAAAAATCTCCAATGACGGGGACTCCACAACCTCTCTTGGAAGTCTATTCCAGTGCTTAACGATCCTTATAGTTAGAAAGTTTTCCCTAATATCTAACCTAAATGTCTCTTGCTGCAGATTAAGCCCATTACTTCTTGGCCTACATTCCATGGACACGAAGAACAATGGATTAGTCCTCTTTATAACAGCCCTTAACATATTTGAAGACCATCAAGTTCCCCCTCAATTGGCTTTTCTCAAGACTAAAAATGCCCAGTTTTTTTAACCTTTCCTCTGTCAGGTTTTCTAAACCTTTTTTATTACTCTCCTCTGGACTCTCTCCAATTTTTCCACATCTTTCCTAAAGTGTGGCACCCAGAACCGGTCACTACTCCAGCTGAGGCCTCACCAGTGCCAAATAGAGCAGAACAATTACCGTACAGGTCTTACATAAAACTCTTCTGTTAACACACCCCAGAAAATTAGCTGTTTTTGCAAGTGCATCGCCCTGTTGACTCATTCAATTTGTGACCCACTATAACCCACAAATCCTTTCTGCAGTGCTATCAGTTTTGCATTTTATTTTTCCCTTCCTAAATGTACTACTTTGCACATGTCTGTACTGAATTCCATCTTGTTGATTTCAGACCAATTCGCCAATGTATCAAGGTCATTTTGAATAATAATACTGTCCTCCAAAGTGCTTGCAACTCCTTCCACGTTGGTACCATCTGCAAATTTTATAAGCATAGGAGTTACAGCACAAGCTGTAAAAGCTAAAATGCCTCATTGCTATACTTTTACCACATCCACTCAGCAAATCTCACCTGTTAGAACTGCTCTGTGATGTGGGTCTGAAGTTTGAGCCAGAGGGGGGGAGGGCATCCTGAAATGTCTGTTCCTCTTGCAATGTTCGAGATAGGGCGAGAAAAGCTTCATCTGAAGAATCCTCTCTGTCTAAATGCCCCAAAAGAGCTGTTAAAAATAATCAAGTTGTGATATTAGACTTGATTCATCACAAAGAACAAAACACAGCTGATTATCCTCCATTTGCTCTCATAATGAACAATTAGGATTCTTTCAAAACATGCACATAACACAGGAGACAAAATGTTCCCTCTTTATCAATTTGATTTGCAATGCACAGGGGAGAGTATACAGCAGTGGTTCTCAAACTATTTGCCAGTGTGGGCCACATATATGGCCCACAATGCATGATGTGGGCCACATCCAATACTACCTGTATGGCCCTGAGGATGTCACATGGGCCACAGCTCTGTGCTGATTGGGCCGTAAGTGGCCCGTGGGCCGCAGGTTGAGAACCGCTGGCATACAGCCGTTATCTACTGCGATAGTTTTCATTCAGCCTCAGGATGCTCTCAGCAACCTCTCTGACATCGAGATAATAAGTCTAGCCAGATAGTTAGACTTTTCTGAGTCCTGAGAAACTGCATATTTGTGCGATTTTCACCCTTGATTGTTCTCTAGAAAACATTTTCTAGTCTCTAACTACCTGGTATCAGGAACTCCCTAAGAGTTTACAGAGGAAGAGTTTTGTGAATAAAGAGACATGGTCCACGCTAAATTATCTGTCAAAAATCAACGGTCTAAGGGGCTGGCATAGATTGTGTTCCATGTGAGCATTTCACTACAGCTACACTGATCAGCATTTCTGAACTGCATAATCTTTCCCTCTATATTTTTAAAAGCAATTCAAACAAAGTCATAACATATTTTCACTACTATTTTTGTTTCACTTAATTTCAGTTTACAAGAGAGACGACCCAGACTTTAGGACCCTGATTTTACCATCCGATTTTACCATCTTTTAGCATATCAAAAGCCTTAATGGTTTGAAAAGTACCCAAACCATCTAAAAGATGTAGAAAAATTGCATACTGTAAGTGTGAACCCTTTTTAAAAAAAAAAAAAAAAAGACATAATCAAACCCTAGGCTAGCAGAGTATGGATTAAGGAAACATCCTGTTACAGATAAAGACTTTAAAAGGTTTTTTCTCAAACTCATAAGACCTTTTGCTTTTTTTCTTTAAATCCTGTTTTTTCCCCCCTTGTTCTCTAGCTCCCTGAATCCTGTATTACCTAATCTGCACAATACCCATGGTAACACCACGGGCAGTGGGAAGAACATAATGCTACTGCAAGCGTTACCATACTGTTGTATTTTACATTTTGGCCAGAGACCCAGAAGTGCTCACCAGCTTAGGAGGGCAAAGTCACTTGGGTTTCTGATCCTTCAGTTTCTAAAGGGCTAACTCCCCAAGATTTATTACTTTTCACGCTGTTCACGTGTGAGGTGAAAATGTAGTGAATGAGATGAACAAGAGTGAACTAGCTTATTTACAGCCCCATAACTAGAATGCTCTGGCTGCACTTCGCAGATCCACACACATAGAATCATGCAGGCAGGGAACCATTGAACGGAATTAGCTTAGTAAGGGGCCACATGCCTCGATGCAGGCGCACAACAGTTCCTAGCCGGACTCTATTAAAGAAGAGACGTTGATCCCACTCTAAGTTTCTGTCCATCTGTCTGGAATAAAAACTCCAAAGAGAAGCAGTGAAAGCGAGAGAGTGAGCGTGTTTCTATGGAGGCAACATACTAGATCTGGAAAGTTCAAATTCCTGGTAAGTAAACTAGAATTTCTTCTGCCTAAATCTGTCTCCAGAGAGCCCCATTCGGCAAAACTAACGAGTAGTAACCACTTAAGAGAAAGAGAGGGGCTGAGTAATGAAGTTAAAAAAATGTTTCTGCAGTCCCTTTTTAGTTAAGTGTGCAGAGAGCTCCAGGTAGCGGCCTAAACATGCAATAATCGAATTTTGCTTAGGCAGGTCTCAGAAGCCACCCTAATTTCAGTGGACTAAGCTGTAAGACCCTTTGGTAATGAATTGTATTTCTCAGAGCTGTTTTCAAAGCACTGTGATATCCATTTTCAATGTATTTGGCCTGGAAGAGATTCTGTTTTTCAGCTCTGAAGCAGAGATGAGCTACCAACATTCCAGTTCTCACAATATAAAAAATTCAGAGACTCGTCTAAATTGGTTTAATTTATACTTTCTTGTTATGCCAAGCTGCAGTACCTAAGTCACACCTACTTAGACTTCCAGAGGTTTGGTCTACACTAGAATTTTACATTGGTATAGCCATGAAAAATCCATTTTCCTGAGAGACGTATCTACACCGTCCTAACTCCCAGGGTAGACAGCGTTAGGTTGATGGGAGAATTCTTCCATCGACCTAGCTCCTGCCTCTTGGGGAGGAGGAGTACTTATGCTGACGGGAGAACCCAGTCTGTTGGCTTAGGTAGTGTCTACACTGAAGTGCTGCAGAGGTGAAGCTGCACTTCTGTAGTGTTTTAAGTGTGGACAAGTCCTTAGAGTCACACCCACTTACCAATACGTAACTTTCCCTGCCCCCTCCTGCACATCACTTCTGAATTAGGCCCAGACCCCAAGGGTATGTCTACGCTGCAATGTAAGCTCAGGATTCATACTCAGCTTAAGCCTAACCCCCTTCCATCTACACACAAATCATGCTAACCGAGGCCTTGGATCCAGAGTCCCAGGACCTGAACCAGAGTCAAGCTGGGCCTCGGGGCTAAAGCCCTATTGCTTTGCACCATAGATGCAGCCCCTCTTGACTTGTGCTCTGGCAGTCTGCCAAAAGTATTCCACAATCTCTCGAGTTGACTTTCTTTGTCCTCTGGACAGTCAAGTTTGGAGGACAGTCAAGTTTTCCCACCACGAACAAAGGGCTAGAGCAGCCATTTTGGGAGGGTGCTAGAAAGTCTGGGTTAGACTCCAGCCCACATAGTTCAGTCTAGATGCTGGAGCACCAGTTTGGGACCCAGGGTTCAACAATTCCTAACCTGGGGTTACAAATGAGTGTAGATACTCAAGCCCAGGTTAACATACTCAGGGTATGCTAACTTGAGTTCTACTAACCCTGGGCTTTCATTGCATTGTGGGCATACCCATCAAGTAACCATGTATTTGCCTCTAAGGGAGTCTCAATTGGGTTAACTCACACAGAGGTACACCAGAAAAGAAGTGTATCGCTACAAAAGCAATTAACAACAGGAAGATTGTGATCCTGGGCACCCCTGTATGCACAACCTACACATTACTGCAATAATATTTGTACACGATATGATGTGTGAGGTATATGAAAGCTAATACCATGAGAGTTATTAGTATCATTGTATAATGTAGATGTTAACGTTATACAGTATGTAAAGTTATGAATTCCCTCTGTATGATGTTACTAGAACATCTTTAAGACCAGACAGCCTACGCTAGGTAACGGCAATAAACAGCTCTGGCCTACACAAAGGACTGTGGGTTTAACCTCAGATTACGCATTAGCAGTAAACAAAGTCACTGAGCTAAACCCGCGGGGGTTATCCCGAACCTGAGCGGAGAGACAGAGCATTAACATGGTTCCTGCACCCAAGAGAGAGACAGAAGACGGAATTCCCAGGAGGCGTTCCTAACGTGTAAGACAGACATCCCTTTGGGAATATAAGGAACAGAGAGAGACTCAATTTTTATCCTTCACTTTAGGAGACAAAGAAACCAAGCCATCTGATCTGTGAAATGGAGTCTGGCCAGACCAGCCAAAAAAAGGCTGGAAAGGAGACTGGGAGTGAGCGAAACCATCTTGAACAAAGACTGTATCTTGCTAGATGAAGTTTTAGACTTTTAGATGCGTGTTTTCACTTTTATTTGCTTGTAACCATCCCTACCTTTTGTCTTTTACTTGGTATCACTTAATCCACGCTCTTTTGATGGTAAACTTGTTTTGCTGTCATAACAACTCATCAATGCTGGGTATGTCCAATAAAGTGTGTGCTTCCAGACAGCTAACGGGTTGGAGTGTTTTTCTGCCTCTGTAAAGGCAGTGAACTGAACATTTATCTGGGAGGGTCCAGTGAGCAGGAACGCCGCCAGCTTGTTTGCCGCCCTAGCCGGCGGAAGGTCCCGCCCCCGAAATACCGCCGCCGACCAGCGTGGCCACAGATCCAGTCGCCACCCCCCAAATATTAGTGTCCTAGGCGACCGCCTAGGTCGCCTAATGGGTTGCACCGGCCCTGCCAGTGAGAGGGACTGGTCCCTTTGATGATTTGGGGATGAATTCCGGCCTGGAAGGGTACCAAGGTCAGCCTTCATGGAGTAATTTGGCTGGGCAAAGCTAGGGTAAGGTTTGTGGGCTGCTGGAAGGCTGTTGGGGGTCACAGCTTTGGACCAAAGCTGCACAGCCACAAGACACCCAGTGTTACAAGGTAGACTGTGACCAAACCCCCTTACTGGCCTGGGTGAACCCCAAAACTTCTCAGTTGAGCCTTTACATTGTTTCAACATAGTTAATGTTTGTCCTATGCAGGGGATTGAACTGTGCTGTAACAAGGAGGTATAAGTGGACTGAAGCCTGGGACGTGTCTTGTTATGTGATCTGGTTACAACACAGGTAGGTCACATGCAAATTAAAATGTGTTGTGACTGGGTCAGGGGATAGTGGTGCTGTAACCAAGACTGCTAACCTGGATATTTTTGTAGTGTAGGCAAGCCCTTAGTTATACCAGCTTACAGATCATTAAATGGGTGTGACTAGGTCTAATGGAGTCTAAGGGAATCTACCATCTACCAATTTACACAACCCTCTGAATTTAGCCCTATAAGTTCGGGGGAACTGGCTTGCCCTTAGGAATGCTAATGAGTTTTGGCACTTTCACATCTATTTAACAATTTAAATCCAACCCAGGATCTGTGTCCAGAAGTTAATTATATCTGATGGTCATTCAGTGCTTAATGTGAAATGAATTAATAGTTTCAGTCTAGTTCCTAGTGATGAGAGGCCACAGTATTATTACCATAATCACAAAACCAGCATCACACGTTGCACTAAGTTGTATCCTTGCTGGTAGTATAGAGCAGAGACCGAAGACTTGAATGGGTCT